AAAGCGAATAGGTCTGGTGTTAAACGAGGACAAGACGAAGTATCTCCTGTCATCAAAAAAACACTCAGCACATTCGCTGTTGACAGTTACAATTTCGAGAAAGTAGAGAATTTCGTTTACTTGGGAATCAGCATTAACACCGATAATAATGTCAGCATTGAAATCCAACGCAGAATCACTCTTGCCAACAAATGTTACTTCGGACTGAGTAGGCAATTCAGGAGTAAAGTCCTCTCTCGACGTACGAAACCCACGCTCTATATGTCACTCATCATCAGCGTTGCTAGGTTGACGTTTTTAACGTCATTTGGACGTTTTTTGTACCCTGTTGACGTTTGGACGTTTTTTGTGTAAAAAATGAAATTTTTTAACTTCCCAGTAATTTTTCTTTGTTACTAAATCTTATAAGTAGAACTGGTTTTGAATTATTTTCTTAATAAATCTTTACAATCTTTGTGTTTTGCTGAAGCTGCTTCCTCCAAAGGTTTTTTTTTTGGATTCGTTGTTTAAAGGCTGGTTGTGTAAACACTTGAGGTTACGAGGCTTGCTGTAATGTTTGCAATTGCACATTAAAAGCCAATTCAGGAAGAGCAGATCTATTGCAGCAGGCACGCTCGCAAAAACATCAAAAAAGCTGTGCAGTACAGAACGTCAGAAAAAAGTAGGCGACTTTTTTAAGACTTCATTGAAAATGTAATGAACACAAAAAAGGCTGAAATATTAGGTCCATTCAATAACTTTACCAGTAAGTACTTGCAGCGCGAGCGTAAAAGAAAAATAGAGAGTAAAATTGAGAGCAAGAGAAAATTTTCAGAAAAAGTTATTGAACGCAAAACTAGTAAAAACTTGCAACTTAAGCCATTTTGACACTTTCTGACGGTTAGATTTTGGCGCCCAATTTTCTTTTTAATTGGGAATAGCTCTCATCGTCATAAAAATAAAAAAATATGCAATAGATTTAAATTTTTCATCCATATTTTCATTTCACTAATTATGTTTCATCAAATCATCCTCTTAAACAGTTTGTTTACAACATAACCTATAATAATGAAACATAATCTTACTTTTTGACTCCTGCAAATTCCTGCTAGTAAAATTTTTACTTGCAAGAATTTGCAGCTCTCTCGGGTTGTTACGCTCTCGAATTCGCTCCCTCTTGCAAATATTTTGGGTTATTGAATGCATTCCCAGTAAAAACTTGCAAGTACTAGCAACAATTCGTAACAATTTTTTGATATTGAATGGACCTATTGCTATGCTCCTTCTTAGCAGAACGTAATTTAGCATTTTCGACAACCGAGCCCCTAACCAAATGTCTACAAAAAAAAAAAATAAAAAATATTAAAAACCAACGCGATTATTTAGCCCCTTTATTGCCCTGAAATTTAATGGGCTATCAAACTGCATAGTCAAGAAAAATTCTAAAAACTCTGGATAAAAAGTTGAAAATCTAGCTGAAAATTTGCAGATTGTTTATAATTTTTGCACAATTTTTGTGGATTTATATTCCGTTTGTTAATGAGCTTGGCTTTTATGGAAAAATAATAAACATTAAATAAACGAAAGAGAAACAGCCAAAATCGATCAAACTATCGATGACTTAATCAGCTGATCGATCACAAGTGTATGTATAAAATGATTTTTATATTAACGACCAGTTTACAATGAATTTTAAATGTGCTCTGTCGAAATGACATTTTAGTATACATTACGTACATATCGAGCCCTAACCGCCAAAATAACGTAAGCGAGAAAATTTTCTTTTTGATGCAGAAATGCATCTAAATGCTCTAGGAATATTTATGCATCAAAAAAAAAATTTAAAAAAAAATGTACCTTTGTATACAATACAAGTTTAATAAGAACAATTTTTTGTACATTCAATTGAAAATAAGGAAAGGAATAGGAAATGACGTTTTTTCAGACCAAGAGGGACGTTTTCTCATGCCGAAGACCTGGCAACACTGCTCATCATGCCCGTGCTGGTATATGACGCAGAAGCATGGACAATGACAACATCCGATGAGGCGGCTCTTGGAATATTTGAGAGAAAGATTTTGCGGAAGATTTAAGGGCCTTTACGCGTTGGCGACGGCGAGTACCGCAGACGATGGAACGATGTGCTGTATGAGCTTTACAACGATATAGACATAGTGTAGAGAATTAAAATACAGCGGTTCCGCTGGCTTGGTCATGTTCGAATGGACACCGACGCTCCAGCTCTGAAAGTATTCAACTCGGAACCCGCTGGTGGTAGCAGAGGAAGAGGGAGGCCCCTACTGCGATGGAAAGATCAGGTGGAGAAGGACTTGGCTTCACTTGGCGTTTCCAATTGGCGTCAGTTGGCACAGAAGAGAAAAGACTGGCGTGCTTTGCTGAACTCGGCCAAAATCGCTTAGGCGGTTACAGCGCCAAAAAAGAAGAAGAAGTACGAAAACGGTTTTGTAAAATTAACCAAAACTTTCGTGGCTCAAAATGACGAAAAAATTAGTAAGATGTACGCAAGTTTAGAATTATGTGAATCGCAAATAAAGACATTCCCGGTAAGGGTACGCTTCAGGGTGGAGTAATCTCACCGTTTCTGTGGAACAGAGCAATAGACAGCCTCCTTCAAGAACTTGACGACATTGGTGGGAAGACAATTGCATACGCCGACGATATTGGCCGATCTAATTCAAAGATCTCTTAGCCAACTATCCCTATGGTGCAACAGGCGAGGACTGACTTTCTTCCGGTAGATCTACATGCTAAACAAGTCACAAGCATTGCGGAAATTCATATGAATAGTCTAAATAAGTGGTGAAACACCATTTATGGTCGTGGTAGAATATTAACAGATTTTTCTGAGCTTTCCGGATCCATGTCCCACATGAAGGAGAGGGTGTATACTCCGAACATCTGGCAGTCTCCCTTAGCTTTCGTCTTCCGGACCACTGTAATGTCTTTCATGCGGAACTGATGGCAAACGACCGAGCCACAAAACTGGTGAAGTGTGATATGATACCCCAAGCTGATATCTACATCTGCCAGGCGGCAATCAAATCCCTTACAAAGCAGTCGACAACCTCCATGGTAGCCATGAAATGCCGCACATCTCTTAACAAGATGGCTGAGTCATTTCGCCCAAAGGTGATATTGGTTCCGGAACACTGCGAAATTGAAGGACACTGCAAGGCCGATGAAAACCGGGTTTGGAAAAAGTCAAGTAATCGAACACCGTAATACACATACACCTGCGTTAGTGAATTCGTCTGAGCGCTTGAAATAAAAACAAAAACAACAAAGAAAAAACTAAATAAATTATCTAAACATAAATTTGGCTCCAGCGCAATTATTTTAATCGAATAATACATACGGATATATAAGAACAGTTAGCCGAATGCAAATTTTTTAACTTGAATTTGATTCGATTTTTTGTTAAAACAATCCGGCAAATCCTGTTTATGTGCTTAACATACAAACATGTCTACAATGCCGGGAATTAAAAGGTTAGTGGATCGCGTGTAATGAATATATGCAAGTAAATTAACAACAACAATAATGTATTGATATTAAAATATACTTACACATGTGTACATTACGCACACTCACTTGAAAAGAGGCATAACTCAGAAAGCATATCAGGAAATATAACTGTATGCGGATCGCACAGATTCAACGTACTTAATACAAAAACAGGCATAACAGTTGTTTTCTAGTTAGAGAATATATTTACGAATAAAAAAAACATACTTTTGCCTTGACTGGAGATAAATTTACGAATTGATTTATGCAAAAAAAGGTAACTAATTTTTTTTTTGAGTTGTGCCTCTTTTTCAGAAGATGTGCGATGTATACAATATACGGTGGCGAAAACATAAATAGAGACGCATTATTTTAAGAAGTTTTGACTATTGTGCTCTTGCTTATTATTATTTTTTTATGAAAGTATAGCTCATTTTCTAACAATAACCGTGTAAGTCCGAATTTTGCACTTTATACAAAAATAAGGAAAATTAAATAAATCTAAACAAAATTGGATAAAAGCAAACATTTTGGTTTACATTTTAACAGCCTATTAAGTTCTAGTATAATTAAGAAAAATTCAACACTGATATCGATTATTTAATTAGTTTAATTTTGAAGATAAATCTTCGCAAAAGCTCTGACAGTTTAATTTTTTTGAGGAATAACTGTAATTTTGAAAGGGCGACTCTTTTAAATTTGCAAATTTAAGGACATCTACATTCTATATTTCGACAAGAGGGCACACCGAACTCGAAATGGGGCTATTGATGAATCCATCGTAGGACCCGACTTTTATGACCCCTATAGACTTGATATTACTGCAAGTTACAAATATTAGTAGAACTTAGCGTTGAGATTTGGCAATTTTTTTCCACACAAAGTATGTATATTCGATTATTTTTTTATATGGAGAAAATGGGCAACACCGTCAGAGAAAAAAGTTCCAAAACTCAACGATAAGCTCTAACTACTTCGAACTTTCACTTTGTTATAATAGATTTGAATGGACTAAAAACTTCATGTTTCTAAGTAAACTAATTAATAGGCTCGAAATTTTTATGAAACTGTCGAATTTTCCTAATTTTTGTGCAAAGTTTGAAATTCGGACTTATTATACTTTCATAAAAGAGCAGTAAACACTAAATAAACAATGAAAATTGTCAAAACTTGTTAAAATGTCGTGTCCCTATTTATATATTCGCCACTATATCTATGTCTCATTATACAGCTGTAAATGTTGCTATTAAATACTAATTTTTTTCTCATCAACCGGTATGAATGCAAGCGTATTCAAATGCTGTTGCTCATCTTCGCTATCTCCAATGGGATTCTCCGCTAGGAACCGGAGCGGGAATCACAACTCAAGCTTCATACTTTTGCCAAATACAATTTGCGGCGATCAGATGTGCTCGCACAAACAAACAAGCATATGTACATACATTTGTATGTAGTCACTATGTGTATAGTATACAAAACAAATATATACAAGTTTCTGCCAGATTTTCCTGTTTTGATGTGAAGATTCTACTTATTATCAATCAGTAGGTTTTCGAACGTTGCCGTGTTAGTGTCGGGTTGGGGCAACTTAAGTACATAAGTAAAGTCGATTAATTCAAATTGTTTGTTGTAGCCGCAAGTTTTTAGTACTTATTAACTATAAACTGGCTAATAATTTTTTTAAGTGCAAAATATTCGTGCATACAAGCATACGTGATTGTGAAAAGTAAGTGCGTTCACGAAATATACTTAAGCATAGAGAACAAGACACAAATTGTTTGAAAAAGGCTTCTTTACAAATTACAATATCATATACATAATACATGAACATATAATATTTTTATAGATATGTATGTACATTAGGGCGGGTATATTTTTTTTACTATGTGAATATAGCTTAGCGGGATTCTAAGCCAATTTGCCGAAGAAGCCATGGGTCTAGAATCAATTTGGGGTTGGCCAAATTGCGAAAATAGGTTTCGAAGAAAATATGAAAATTTTTAATGTTTTGCCCTCTGGTGGAAGTTTTAAGAAAACGATAAATGCAGAAATGGATTCCTCATACCAAAAAATTCCGTATTGCGTGTTTTTATACAAAATTTAAGCACTTCTTTACAACACTCCGGCAAAATGCTAAGAAAGCTATTTTCGCAATTTGACAAACTTCAAATTGATTTTAGAACCATGATTTCTTTGGTAAATTTGCTTAGAATTACACGCAGAATACTTCTGTGCTATACGCGCATAGTCGTAAAAAAATCTCCCATACAAATTGACCCGCCCTAATGTACATATGTATCAATTAAAACAACCATCGAAAACCTTGCCAGTGTCAGCCGTAGGTGTCGGCTATCAACAACTTGTATTCAATCAATTTCAGAGATTGGCGTCGTGCCAGTGATAAATGCCAATAGGCTTGCAAGCAACCAAAGCTAGTATGTTTTTTAGCAAAAATTTTTTCTGTATTGGCACAAAACGAATATATGTACTTGGAAACATTTATTTCTGATTAACTTTGTTGCCTAACTGATTCATTCATTGGGGAGGTGACTCTGTACGCGTATTTTACCAGTAAACCAGTAACCGCGACACTTCAGAAGCTAGGAGCTGTAATGTTATTCTCATTAGAAATAAAAAAATGTGCGTGGATCCACGCCCGATTGAAGTGAGACTTCTTTCTATTACCCGTATAGCTCACCATATTAAATGATGATTGTTCGGCACGATACTGCCAACATGTCTTCATCGTAATCTTAATCTCAATCGCAATACATATCAATATCAATATTAATCTTAATCTTAATCTTAATCTTAATCTTAATCTTAATTTTAATTTTAATCTTAATTTTAATTTCAATTCTAATCGTAGTCTCAATCTAAATCTGAATCTCAATCATAATCTTAATCTTAATCCTACTCGTAATCTCAATCTCAATCCTAATTTTAGTACTGATCGTTATGCTAACCTTAATATTAATCTTAATTTGTCAATTTTTATTGTGGCATATTAATATTTATTTCAATAGTGTTATTGAGCTTTGTATCACGATTTGTTTGTTAGGAAAAATGGAAAAACCACAACAATTTTCGGGTGTCCTTTTCATTGTTACACAAATTTTCGGGTTAGCTGCGGGTGTCCGAGTATGGTGTTCGCTTGTGCTTAATTTTTAGCGAGGATGATCGAACAGGCTCGTTCGTACTCAAGCAGCTTTCGGGTGTGCATCTCGATCGTTTTTTAACGAGGGTGCATGTCAAAGGTATAGAGTAAAGGCGGCAAACAATTTTCGGCCTATCAGTTTCTCTAGATTTCTTCTCAACGCCATGTGTTGACTGTTGAAAATTCCAGCGATACTCAAATGCCACAAGGGTAGATTCCACAAAATTGTTAGCAGTATTGGTCAAGACCTATACCACAAAGAATTCGCGATGTCAGCCTTTCTGGATGTGGTTGGCGCCTTTAAAAATCTTCATGGATGGCTCCAAAATGAGCGTTGAAGTCGGATCTGGTGACTGATCACTGATTTAAAATAATTTTTTGAAAATACCATAACCTTAAAATTTCAAAGTCCTTTAAAAAAATTGGACGCCGGGGAGAAAAACTCGGAATACAATTGACTCAACAATAGCCCTCATAAGTTTGTTCATTAAAAATAGCCACTGAATATAGATTTTAGCTCTATTGGATTGCGCATCACTGGTTGACAGTTGGATTATGACAGGCTAATGACAGCATTATTTATCCCAATATTGCAGTAACAAGTTCGCTTTTTAAGTCTTTCGATTCAATTAAGGCTGCGGTTACTATGCATGCGTATTCTGACGAACTTTTGTTCTGACGATTTCTTCGAAGCAAAAACATACGAAACAAACAACAAACAAACACGTATTTCTTTCTTGCGACGAAATCGTCAGAACAAACGTTCGTCAGAATACGCATGCGTATTAGCCCTAGCCTGAGGCAAACTAATAGGCGAAAAAAAACTTTGAAAACTTTTATTCATATTAAAATGCAAGGAATTTTTTTGAATTATATTTCGAGAAATAAAAATAGTTAAAATAGTGCATTATATGTATGTAGTTGATACTGAAATTTCCATAAAGCTTTCGTTTTGTATTCACGTGACGATGATTTTTTAATGAACAGGATATTTTTTTAATTTAAGAAAAAAAAACGTTCAACCAAATAATGCCAGCTGTTTCCAAGCTGCTACGAATGCAGCTCTATGTATGTATATTAAAATATTTATAACATATGTACAATGTATTAATACAAATGTATGTTCGTACGTACATATGTAAGTATGTATGTACTAGAGCATGCCTGCCAATAACGTCATAGCTGGGGTAAAACCAGTTTCGCTATTCGAACAATTATACGCTGCTTTACAGCCTTCATTGCTTCCATTTAATTAATTTATTTATTTTATTCGCTTCGACGTAAAATTGCAAATCATAGAATACTTAAACAGCAGAATATATATTTTTAACAGACTTCAAAAAAGGAGGAGGTTATCAATTAGCCGGATTCTTTTAAATATTTCTTTAAATGTTACCGCATTCCTTTGGGCCACGTAAACTCTTTTCAATAATTTCACAAAGATGATCGCATACTAATTCGATCATTGGATCCTGCATATTTAGATGACCGGCTTCAATGGTTTTTTTTTTGTAAATTATTAGTTTTGTTTTTATTTAAATGCTTCTGATAACTAATAGGTACCACGAACCAAGTATTTATTTTTTGTTTGTCAGGGCATAGCTGACACATACATACATATATGCATATATACTTCCACAATAAGTAAATTTGTGTTGCCTATAATTCCATTTTAAATCGAGGGTTATATGCACCCATACCCCTTACACAGATTATAAGTACATATTTATGTATACACACGGCTCTTTAGCCGGGTGAGAGATCACTTTTAAATAGCTGATAATTATATTTATTCGTATGTCTATATAAAATGCAAATAATTATGAAAAAGTGTTTTCAAACAGCTCCAAGCTGGCATTTTCATTTCGTTATCAGCTGGGGTGTTTTCTGTGGCCTAAATATACTCGCTTGTATATCAATGTCTCAGTGATGCCAAAACATAGAAATTGTATCCCTATAGTGGGAGTTTTTAATAAGAAAATTATCCAAATAGGTATTTTGTTGAGCTGAACACAAAATGCAGCTTTTACAATTTTTTGGTGAACTAACGAAACTATAAATCCATATACATATGCTCAGATGTACGAAATTTGTAGTTTTTTTTTTTTGTAAATTAAAAAATAATAATTTGGCGCTTACACTTTTGCTAAGTGTTTGGTCGAGTTTCTCCTGCAATTTATGGTGTGCGTCTTGACGTCATTACACAAATGAGAAGCTTTTTCACACAGTGGCCGCACGATATTGGGAAGAAAAAAAACAATGTGTCTTGGTAAAATACATGAGGCCTTCGGAGTGTACATAATGTGACCAACCGTACTTCTCCGTACGTCGTACTTCGCAGTACAATCAAATGTACTTCTTTGCAATATTTTGTACTGCCTTTTAAGATGGGTCTTCTTTAATTGATTTGAGAAATTTTAAAACCTTAGTCGAATACATAAATTTCAACCTTCTTTCACTTCACTTGCCGAGCTAACAAATTTCATTTTAAATGGCTTCTTCATCCAGAAAAATTAAAAGGTGTTAGAGAATTTACGGGGAGTATTTAGCTGGTTTGGAAAGTAGCGCACGCTACTACACGTGGAAAAATATGATTTTTAGAACACCCCAATAATAATGAAGAAAGCATCGTTGAATATACATGAAATATTCGTATTTGCAATATCTCTACAATTGTTGTTCCTTTTTTGTACATACATACGACAATTCTGTATTCTTATTGAATTAAGTTTAACTAGTCATAATCCCCGAAAATCGAGGTGCTCCGTATCCATATACACACGTAACATATTAACCATTTCTTTGTTAACTATCGTACAGTGCTTATTTTTTGGACACGAATTGCCCCTTCAAGTGGTTTGGATTAATTACACCAGGCTGAAGTTGAACGACCCAGTCGACTAAATTGACATCTCGCAAAATCGTCTCTTGTTGTACTTGTCTTAATTTTTGAGTCTGGATTGAAACAATCAGGTTCTCTGCAACTCATATACATATCGTCGCTCGAATAAAGAAACATACACTATTATTCGATAATTGCACCATTGGATAGACAATCCTTTAATCTATTAGAAAAATCTTTAGTTTTCTTAAATATCTCTTTGGCTCACTAATTTATTCCCGAAAAACGAAATTATATTTGTATGGTTTGTAATGGTTTGTAAAAACTTCCAATTCGTTTTACTCAAAACTATACTTTTCATGTTACACTATTTCATTATTCCAGCGATGATATGTTGAGAGTTTAAAACTGTTCATCGACCATAATTTTTTTTTTTTAGTTTTCCGGCATTTTAATATCATATAAAGTTGAAAATAAAAAAATTTAATTGTTTAATTTAAATTATTGTTGTTTGATATATAAAATGAGAATGTGAGTGGGAGTTTCAACTCTACATTTTAAAATCATACGGTGCCAATTGAAATGAACGTAATAAAGTTTTGTTCAGTGTAAACCTTTAAAAAATTTTCAGTGCAAATATTTCAAAAGTCGTCTAATGATTCTTAAATCTGAAATGTTTTAGCAAAGTTTCAGATCGACCACTTTAATTTGATACATGACTTGCCTCTTTACGATTAGTAGGTCGTGTGTTTTTGAGAGTGGGAAAAAATAAGAAAATGAATGCCTTTTTAAGGCATATTTCCTGTCTACCACCACTGCTAGGTACTAAATACATATGTGTATGTACTTAAGTTTGAAAATATATGTCGATGCCAACGTGGTTAATATGTAATTAGAGCCATCTGTTAGTGCTCTAACGGCTTTATCAATACTTTTTCTTGGGTGTCAAACCCAGCAGAGTGAACCATTTTCGCGTTAATCTAAACAAAAAAAAACATTCCAGAAAAGATATTACCGCCTTATGTGCATGTAAAACGGCTTTATTTAGATGGGAAGCCAAATTATATCAGGTTCACTAGATATGCACATGCATATGTATTTGCGTATAGGTACATAAAATCAAAAGGCAATGTCACTTGTCTAATGCCAAGTCCACCAATATACGTAGAACTAATATTTCAATAGAGTTAAGTTTGATGTCTTCGAATGCCTTCGAAGCGCAATACATACATTGTTCAGTTTCGGGCTTTTTACATACCCATCAAACTTAACCCCGACTTACTAGTTTTCCAGTGACTAAGTAACTGCACATATACAAATTTCTGTAGTATATCATCCTATGCTTTTTATTCGCATATCCTTGTCGATCTAAACTACCAGTTGGCTAGCCTGGGCTCAGGCATAGCAAGGCCCAATTAGGGAATGGACAGACGACTAAGGCGAAGATCGGCTTTGTAGGCCGATCTGAAAGACTTTTCAACGACCATGGGATGGACGGTTTTACTATACATGTCCATGTGTACAGATATCTTTGAAATATAAAAATAAAAAATAAATCACTTTTGAAACTATGTTCTCCTCATTCATCACTATGTACGTCTTACATAATCGTTTCAAGAAAGCTGCAATCTTGTTACACAAAAAGGTAGAGATAAAACTGTTAGTAGGTAGAAATTAAAGAGTTTTAATTGCCAAGATCGGTTGAGAGTTGACCAAAGTATAAGATATTTTTCACATATCGACGCCCGTTCTGCCGATTCCGTGCTACGGTCGCTTGGGCGACCACCACCCCTTTTTCCATGCCCTGGCATGTGGCACATAACGGCGAATGGGGCCATCGTCAGTATTTCCGCGTAGATTAATTATCTCGTTCTAATCCTGGATTCTTCTGTGGAAGTATCACATTGATTCGACTACATTCAAAGTTACGAGGCCAGTAATGGTGTACAAGCATTTAGCAGGCAAAAGCCCTGAGATGGCCGTACACGTTGCTTAGGCTTCGAGAACTAATTTAGTCTGGCCTGTGCGCCCATCAAGGGAGCGATGCGTACATGCGCGACGCCACGAAAAGCCATTTTGCAGCTCCTTCAAAAGCTACTCCGCAGATATGGAATAAACAAGTCATTTAAAAAATGAAATTTAGAACTCTTTAGCTACAATGAGCCAAAAGCAACATGGTTTTTCCAAACCTAGTTGTTGTTTTATTTTGTCATGGTAAATACTCCGATAGTACGAAAAGTGATTCAAGTTGAATATGTGTAAACACATTTGTATGTCTGACTGCAGCTAAACGTCTTTGGTTGATTTTTTTTCGTGTAAGAAGGCTGGAACACCTCTATTTTGGAGAAAAATGCACACGCAAGCACTATGCAGTGGCACAGAGGTGGATCCAAAACCTCTGAAGTTATTGGGGCATTCATCAATAGCTTTATCCAATAGAATTCTGATTCTATTGGTACAAAGGTCACAAAGGAATATAGGAAATCGTAGTAGTGCAAATATTAGCTAGGGAAGCAGCAGCTTCATTTGTCACAGATCTCGTAGTAGGTCTCAACAAGATCAAGAACGAGCTCAGGGAAGAAGTAATATGAATGATAGAACGAAATTGACGGTTACACCCAAAGAGATATAGGCTTCTTAAGAGCCTGCCTAAGAAGAAACTGAGGATTGTCACGCGCATCCTCACGTGTCACTTCTGCCCAAGAGTGGAGTTGTCCTGTTAGGAATCTGGGAAAATTACGTCTGTCGCTTTTACAATCGGCTAAGTAGATACCTCTGAACCCGCTCCTTGAGTGTGGGGATAGCGAAAAAAATGTCTAGACTCAATGTGGCCAAAATATGAGCACATACTCTTTCTACCTCTTAACGCCCTTCCAGACTTGCTGCTGATTGTAGTCTGAACGAGACGTTGTGATAAGTAGAGGGCACAATAGATCGGATGATCAATGTGCATACCTTTTCTAATTATCTATCTATCTAATCTGACAAATAGAAACTGAAAGTAATACCTCCACCGGCTCATGCAAGTTTTGTTTGAATCAAGTTTTATAATGGCGAACAATCGCGATTTTTCTTTTGCGGGTAGTTAAATCGGGAATTTGGCTGTATGTGTGTCTCTTCAAGTTGGCGTAGACATATTTTTTTGGCTGCTGTGGTCTAGTAGTTAGCAGTGCGCACTCCCATTCCGCAGGACCTGGATTCGAGCCCAACTTCCGACCAACATCAAAAAAGAATTCAGAAAAAAGTTTTACAAATAGCGATCGCCCCTCGTCATGAAAAACAGCCAACCGACCAAACACTAACATATTGTGTATGCGTGAATCTATTATTATTATTATTTGGCATATCTTTCTGCTTACTTTTATGCAGTTCCGTTTTGGTAAAGCAAAATTCTTTCTTCTTCATTTCAGCCTTATACACAGTCAAAATGACTGCATATTGGAGGATTACCGTCGTATGCCTGCTTTCCTTATGGATTGGCTCAACTCAACAACAATCAACTCCGAATCTTGACGATTTACTGAATAAAATCTTCACAACAGAGGCAACACCATTCCAGCCTGTACCGACTAAGACTACTGTTCTTCAGCCTAATCCTCAGCCACAACCAGAACCACAGCCCAATCCAAATCCGGCACCACCAATTGATCCTGGAAGTGGCAAGGTTTGTGGCCTGAACAAAGAATGTGTGGCACGTTTCTTGTGTAATGAAGATGGCGCAGTCAATACAGATGGCACAACGCTCATTGATATCCGCTTCGATGGCGACGAACAGTGTACTTACTTGGAGGTCTGCTGTAATACACCCGATAAGGTATGTGGAACTTATAGAGATTTTTTAATATACATAACTCAAAAAATTTCTAATTATCCGTACAATCATTTCATTGCAGTTGACAGAGCCCAAGGTGCCCATAAAGCCAGATGAAACACATGAAGGCTGTGGTTATCGCAATCCCGATGGTGTCGGCTTCCGAATTACTGGCGACAAGGAAGGCGAGGCACAATTTGGCGAATTCCCGTGGATGGTAGCCATTTTGCGTGATGAAGTGATTGGCGGCGAAACATTGAATATTTACGAATGTGGCGGCGCTGTGATCGCACCAAATGTTGTCTTGACCGCAACCCATTGTGTACTCAACCTCGAACCGCATGTGCTGGTGGCACGCGCTGGTGAATGGGATACACAAACCAAACAGGAAGTGCTGCCACATCAGGATGCGCGCGTCAAGGAGATTATACGTCATGAAAACTACAATAAAGGTGCACTTTATAATGACGTGGCACTACTCATATTGGAGACACCCTTCTATTGGGAAGAAAATGTGCGTCCCGTCTGTTTGCCCGAACCGAATGCCAATTTCGACTATGCACGTTGTTACGCCACTGGCTGGGGCAAGGACAAGTTCGGTAAAGATGGTACGTATCAATTGATTTTGAAGAAAATCGATCTTCCTACTGTGCCCAGAGATACCTGCCAAGCCAATCTGCGTAGAACTCGCCTGGGCAAATACTTCAATTTGGATAAAAGTTTCATGTGTGCTGGCGGCGAGCGGGGCAAGGATACTTGCAAAGGTGACGGTGGCTCACCGCTGGTATGCCCCGATCCACAAAATCCTAAACGTTACTATCAAGCTGGTATCGTGGCTTGGGGTGTGGGCTGTGGCGAGGAAAATGTACCAGGCGTCTACGCCAATGTGCCATACCTACGCAACTGGATCAATGACAAGCTCGCCGCAAGAGGAATTGATTTTAAATATTTTACGGTTTAAATAGCACTGAAATTAGTATGCAACACACTGTTTGTTTTAAAAATGTACTTTGATATTGTACGATAATATTTGAAATAAATGATTAAAATATAGATAGACACAAATAAATAACGAATATATGTAATAATAACACTGTACAGCACTCGGCTGGGTATTGGACCAAACCAACTTTTTTTAAGAGATTGAGTCATAAGTAAAAAAAGTAATTTCTCCGTTTTTCGAAGCGTCGGCTTTTTCGTTCAAATACGTTTCTATTCTGCGCTTCGCAGATGCTTTTTCATAGCTTAGTAATACAAAACTAAAATTTGTGTTAACATTTCAATATCTTGGGACCGTCTGGAATCTGGAATCTAAGAAATAACAGCGAGCACCTTTGCAAACTCAGCTACAGCTAAAGGTATGTAAACGTACATTTCTTACAATCATTCAAACAAATTTAATTTCAAATTGAAAACACATTTCTTCCAAAATAACTTAAAATCGCACACAAGAAGAACCAAAAAGACCGAAAAATCATGATAATTTTTTCTTTCGTATGTCCATTTTAGAACTGGTTCGGAACTATAGAATTTAGGACAAGTTCGGAACTATCGAGAAAGGGATGTAGCGGGGGGCAATTGACACTTCCTAGGACATCGCCATCTTAAATTCGCCAGTTGCTTGCATGCAAAAGAGATTTAACGCGAACCAGTACTGGGTCTAAATGTACTAGAAGCGCTCCAGTTCAGAACTAGAGATTTTCCCCACAGGGATTGTTAAGGTAATTAAATTTCTTCCGATATGCATATTTGTATACTTCGTATATAAAAATTTGAGAAAAAGACATTTAAATGAAAAAATACCTTTTCTTGTATAAAAATAATATTTTAAACAAAAAAATTACTAACTGATTTTTTAAAAAATTGGTATCATTGTAAATGCGATCAAACCCCCTTTCTTCTTATTTGCATATTTGTATACTTCGTGAATAAAAATTTGAGAAAAAACACTTAAAACACTTTAAACAAAAAAATAACCCCCTCCCCGATTTTTAAAAAATTGGCATCGTTGTTAAGGCGATTAAACCCCCTTTCGTCTAAAATGCATATTTGTACAAATCGTGACTTTGAGAAAAAACACTTAAAAGGGAAAAATACCAATTTTATCTTATAAAAAAATCTACAGAAAAATTACTAATTAATAATACAATTGAAGTATTTAAATAAAACAATTTATTATTAGTATTTAAAGCATTAATTCGTTCTTGTTCACACACAGCCCTGTTAAAAATAAAGCAAAAGTGTATGTAATAGAAGTCTAAGGCATATAAAATTATAAAAACACCATGGTTTTTGATATTTTACCTAACAGATTATATAATAAAAATTAAAGGTAATTTTCTGTTTTATTCAAATAAAGTATTCAATTGTATTACTAATAAGTAATTTTTTTGTTTAAAATGTTTATTATAAGAAAAAATTGGTATTTTTCCTTTTAAGTGTTTTTCTCAAATTTTTATAGACAAAGTATACAAATATGCATATCAGAAAAAGGAATTTAATCGCCTTTACAACGGTGCCAATTGTTTAAAAATCGGTTGGTAATTTTCTTGTTTAAAATATTAAAAAAAAAAAAAAAGTTTTTTTTCCTTTAAATGTGGTTTTTCTCAAATTTTTATATACAAAGTATACAAATATGCATTTCAGAAGAAAGGGGTTTAATCGTCTTTACAGCGATACCAATTTTTGAAAAATCGGTTGGTATTTTTTTTTTGTCTAAAATGTTTTTTTTTTATAAAAAAAGGAATTTTTCCTTTAAATGTGTTTTTTTTTATTCTTATATACGAAGTATACAAATATCCACATCAGAAGAAAGGGGGTTTATTGCCTTTGCAACAATAATAACCTTTTAGACGTCGGTTAGCAATTTTTTGTTGTTTACAATTTTAAATACGAAGTATACAAATATGCATAACAGAAGAAAGGGGATTTAATCGTCTTTACAACGATACAATTTTTTTAAAATACTGTTAGTAATTTTTTTGTTTAAAATATTTAAAAAAAAAAATTATTTTTCATTTAAATGTGTTTTTCTAAAATTTTTATATACGAAGTATACAAATACGTATATCGGAAGAAAGGGGGTTTAATCACCTTTACAATGATATAATTTTTTTTAAAATCAGTTCAAAATCGTTTGCAATAAAAGGAATTTAATTTTTCGAAGACCTGAACTTTGACCACTTATAGCACCTGTAATATAAGTTTGCACATAAAAAGTTATATACGATTTAAATAAGAGCAAAACAGGACTACGTCTATATTTTTAGATTTTTAGTTATTTACATGCAATAATTAAATATAATTTTTTACCAGAGGTCCTATTTCCAACTTCGAAGGCCCATATCTCGATTTCGGAGGCTAACTTCGAAAAACGGAGAAATCACTATGACTCAATCTCTTAAAACAATTTGGTTTGGTCCAATACCCACAAAAAAGTCGATTTTGCCGTACAGTGTAATAATAGATTGGCGCTTACACAAATGCTAGGGTTTGGTCGAGCTTCTCCTCAGATGTTGTCATACAAAGGTCCCCTACAGTTTAACGCCGACTCGAACGGTGACTTTATTTTTATTTCGACAAATCGTATCTTTCTTTTGCGCAGTTCCGCCAGTTATTATCCATGGATAGAGTGAACAGGGTCTTCTTCTTTTGTATCATATTCTTGTGCACCGTTGCTTTAGTTATTTATCCAAAATGCCCAGTGGAAGAACCTTTTCACCGGAGCACCACCATCAATTTAAACGGCATACCCAATTCAGGGCTATACTTGTATTTAGATTAGTAACGCTTGAGAGCCTACACAACACGCGCGCCCATTTAATTTTTTTTATTTGATGGTTGCTGGTCTTATAGAAAGTAGTACTTGGTCACTATATTCGTTGGCAGCCATGTGGCATAGAACGCTTTAGTATAATGTAAGGTAGTAAAATCAAGAATGGCACGGCTATGTCGCGCATCACTGAGTCACCTCAACACTGCTGTCTGTATTCCTGGGCATAGCAAAGTCGAAGTGAATGAAATAGCCAATGAGATGGCTAGACACGGTTCGAAAATGCAGACCATCGAGGCGAATAACTCTACCGCTTGGTGATCTCCTGGGAAAAAATTGACGAGTACATCACAGCCGTAACAAAGGTAGTGCATGGAGCACACTAGACGACTTGACGTTTCGATGTCTATGCCGAGGTCATTAAGAAAGGAATTTTAGAACTTTTAACTCTCGGCAGAGATATGGGCCCCTATTATGAGTTGCATTCGATTTTCGACTGTGGTCGAAAGTGCTGAGCGAACGAATTTTCATTTGGTATTATGGCGCTTATTCGATGAAGAATAGCGCTATTGTGAATTTCGCCCGTTTAGGTCGTTCGCAATAGTATATTTTTCACCGCTGAGAGGCTTTGTTTACAAATCGAGCAAACTAAATAGTGTGCTTATACATATTTATGTAAATTTGTTCTAATTAAAATGAAGTAAAAAAGAAAGCAAGTTTATAAAAACGTAGTAAAATGAGTACAACGAGTTCTGGTTCAACGATTCGTCGGAGGATGAGAGCTAAGTAAACTGGCCAGGAGTAGCAAATGTTTAAGAGAGTTTAAGTTTATTAGTATTTCGAATATATTTTGATATAAAATATATTTAAGAAATTTGTCTACAGATTCATTAAAAAGTTCCGGCCATCTAAAGAAGCGTTTGTG